GCGGCTTACAAACTCCTTTCCCTTCCCCTCCTCACAACAGACACCCTGTGAGGTCAGTGGGGCTGAGAGAGCTCTGACAGAAACTACTGTTTTTCAAGGACAGCTCTTATCAGAACTAGGGCTTGCCCAAGGTCATCCAGCCAGGTGCAAGTGGAGGAGTGGAGAATCAGACGCGGTTCTCCCAGATTAGAGTCTGCGCACTTAACCAGCACACCAAACTGGCTTGTAGCATATAGGAAGAGGCTGCCGCCCCTGGGAAGTGAGCCACGGGGTCAGCCTTCCACATCCTTAATGGTGGGTATCATCAGGCAATGGTAGAGGTAAGAGGGGGCCGGTGAAGTTGGCATGTTGTTGGGGCTTTGTCATCCAAGAAGAAGAAAAAGAGACTGGATTTGTACCCTGCCCTTCTCTATCCAAAGGAGTCTCAGAGTGGCTTACAGACTCCTTTCCCTTCCCCTCCCCACAACAGACACCCTGGGAGGTAGGTGGGACTGAGAGAAAAGCTCCGAGAGAACTGAGAAGGAGACTCCGAGTGAAAGGAGGGGTATAAATCCAATTCTTCTTCTTCCTCCTCCTCCTCCTCCTCCTTTTCTTCCTCTTCCTCTCCCTCTCTGCCTCCTCCTGCATAGTTCTGTGTGCATTTCCCAGTTCTGGAGTTTACTACTGGATGGTCTGGGGCAGCAATTTATAAAGATGATGACACCAAAACTGCACAGAATATATGACTCCCTCTAATCTAAAGACCTCCCAAATTTCAAGTCAATTGGACCAAAGAGGTCAGTTTTACAGAATGCGGAAGTAGTTGCTTCTTGGCACAGGGTCGGGTGGGGGGATGGCACTAACCACAAACACCAACCCCTCTAAAGCCTCCCTCTGCATTCATTTAATTTTCCTACTCTTACAGTGACCGATTAACGATTTTTAAAAATTACCTTTCTACTGAAAACTCTGCATTTGCAACACTTCCTTGTGGTGTTCTGTTTGTTTCACCAAGGCTGCGATCACACACACTAAATCAGGGGTGTCAAACATATGGCCCGGAGGCCAGATCAGGCCCCCAGAGGGCCAGTTTGGTGTAGTGGTTAAGTGCGCAGACTCTAATCTGGGAAAACCGGGTTTGATTCCCCACTTCTCCACTCACACCTGGCTGGATGACCTTGGGCAAGCCATAGTTCTGATGAGCTGTTCCTGAAAAAGAGCAGTTTCTGTCAAGAGCTCTCTCAGCCCCACCTACATCACCAGGTGTCTGTTGTGGGGAGGGGGAAGGGAAAGGAGTTTGTAAGCCGCTCTGAGACACCTTTGGGTAGTGAAAGGCGGGGTATAAATCCAATCTCTTCTTCTTCTTCTATCAGGCCTGCAGTAGAACTGGCTGTCTTCTTCTTCTTCCTCCAGTTCTGCTGTGTCATCGTAGGTTTGCAGCTTACAGATACACACCTGAACAGCCTACTCAAGATGGCAACAGCACAGACATTTTGATGCAATAATTCAGAGCAAGATGTGTCACTTATCAGACACTGTTAAATAGACAAAATATTGCAAGAGTGCTAATGTTTTAAGCATGTTTTATTTTAATTAAAAAAAACCCTTTGTGTTTGTGTACTTTATAAAGTACCTGGCATTACATTTTATGACACACGTGGCCCGGCCCAACAAGGTCTCATTTATGTCAGACCCGGCCCTCATAACAAAAGAGTTCGACACCCCTGCGCTATATAATCCACTTTCAGTGCACTTTTGAATTGGATTTTGCCAGTTCACACAGTAAAATCCAGTTGGAAAGTGCATTGAAAGTGGATTGAAAGTAAATTATTTATTGTGTGAGATCACGGGAAAAGTGAGGAAGGAGACCAGCAAATTTTCCATTATTCCGTATGGGAGATTTTGTGTGTGTGTGTGTGGGGAGGCTGGAGCGGCTGCATTTAAACCAAATGACACCCAAATTGCGGGGGAGTGAGGACTGTCTGTCCCCTCAAGAACCCCCAAGTCTCAAGCAAATTGGACCAAGAATTCCAATCCTTTGTGCCCTCAAAGTAGGTGCCCTAGCCATCCTACTTGCAGAGGGGAAAAGCTCCCCCTCCCCAAATGAAGGAGGGAACGGGGTGGGAGGGGTGTTGCAAAGAAGGGGATCAGAATGCAAAAGTACAGTCCAAAGTCTAATCAGCTTGCTTAGGACAGGGGAGGCATGCTTAGGGACAGCAGATCAGCATCTGTGGTGAGAGAAAAACCCTCTCCCTATTCAGCCCTGGGGGGGGGTTCCATTGTTCTGAAGTTGTGAGTGAAGGCAAATTCAGCAATCTCCCATTGCAATCTCCCTGTTAAGCTTCTCTGTTTGAGGAGTGCCACTATTAGGTCAGCAGTGGAGCGTCCTGGAAGATTAAAATGTTCTCCCAGTGGTTTTTTTAGTGTTGTGATCAATGCTCCCTCTAAGCTGTGGAGTCTTATGAGCAAAAATTCTACTTTGTGAGCTTCTGGCATTAAAGTTGTGAGTGAGTTGTAATGCTTAAAACATTAGCACTCTTGCAATATTTTTGAAGCATGGACGGCTTCAAAAAGGAATTAGATAAGCATATGGAGCAGAGGTCCATCAGTGGCTATTATTCACACGGTATAGATATGGACTCTGGGGCAAGTGATGCTCTGTCTTCTTGGTACTTGGGGGAGGGCTTCTAGTGTCCTGGCCCCACTGGTGGACCTCCTGATGGCACCTGGTATTTCTGGCCACTGTGTGACACAGAGTGTTGGACTGGATGGGCCTTTGGCCTGAACCAACATTGGCGTCTCTTATGTTCTTATGAGAGATTTGGCTGCTGCATAAATTAATGTGCTCTGGAGTCATTCTTCCTGAGCTTAGACAACAAATGTGAGAGCCAGAGGCTAAAAAAATGTGAGCTAGCTCAAACCAACTCAGCTTAGAGGGAACACTAGTTGTGATTAATGTCAGATGTGTGTCCATTTATTCTTTTGCAGAGGGACTGACCTGTTTGTAGGGTTGCCAATCCTCAGATGGAAGCAGGGGGGTCCCCCTGGTTTGGAGCCCCTCCCCCACTTCAGGGCTATCAGAAAGTGAGGGGGATGGCTGTTGGGCACTCCATTACACCCTACGGAGACCAGTCCCCATAGGGTATATTGGAGGATCAGTCCATGGGTATCTGGGGCTCTGGGGTGGCTATTTTGTGAGGTAGAGGCACCCATTTTTCAGCACGGCTGCTGGTGTCTCTCCTCAACCCCCCTCCCAAATTTCAAAAATATTGGACCGCAGGGTCCAATTCTATGAATCCCCAAAGAAGGTGCCCCCACCCTTCATTATTTCAAATGAAGGGAAGGCATTTAAAAGGAATGAGGTCCCTTTAAGTGCCACGACCAGAACTTGCTTGGGAGTTCAGTCATGCTTCCTCGAGCCTCCCTCCTCTATCCTGGAGCCTCTTGGTAAGTCCCCTCCCCCCGCTTGTCTGCCTCACTTGGCAACCCTACCTGTTTGCATAGGGACTGACCTTTAGAGAGTGGAATGGCATTGCTGACATTTGATATCATATGTAACATTTCTTTTGTATGGGTACCCACCTGAATTTATAAACCAATGTAGTGATCACAGTTTCCCCCAACGATTCCTGGCTATTGTGTTCTCGTGAAGGCACTTAGAATTCCCAAGCCAGGTCACAGAACTGGTTTCTAGGCTTCCTTAGTTTCTCATGGTAGTTAAATCTGAAACTGGTTTAAGCCTGCGGTGTAGACAACCCCCTGTTACCTAGTCACTGCACCAAGCATCATACATGACAAAAATCATACATGACATATGAATGCTGTAAGAAAAGTCTAAAAGCTACTTAAACAAAAATGATTAGAGGGTCAATGTTGTGCATTTGTTACCTTGGAATGTCGGGTCAGAACACAGAGGAGGAGGATTTGGAGCAGAAAGGGGATAGATGTAGCACAGAAGAAAACAAAACAGAGACCCTGGTGTTTTCCCGCTGCATCTCTGCTCAAAGTTGCATCCTACCAAACTGGTGGGCTTGCTGGTTGGTTCATTTCCAGCTCCCTACTTCACAGAATGGGTAGCCAGTGAAAGGAATGTATCCCTTGCAATTGACCAGCCACAACTTTGGCAGCCGACCTCTAGTTTCCTTGTTCTCTCACCCCCTACAGCAATGAATCACAAGAATGTCACCCAGGTCTCCGAATTCCTCATCCGTGGTTTCACATCCCAACCAGAACTCCAGAAGATCCTTTTCCCATTCTTCCTCTTCGTGTACCTGCTCACCCTCCTGGGGAATGTAACCATCATCTTCGTGATCCGCTCGGATGCGCAGCTCCTCCAGACCCCCATGTACTTCCTCCTCAGCTTCCTCGCAGTATGCGACTTGGGTTTCTGCAGCAACATCATCCCCAAGGCACTCGTGAACTTGGTCTCTCAGAAGAAGACCATCTCCTACCATGGCTGCCTGACCCAGATATTTTTCGCTATCTTTATTGGCAATGCAGACAGCTACATCCTGGCTTCCATGGCCTATGACCGCTTTGTGGCCATCTGCCGCCCACTGTACTATTCGGCCATGATGAGCCGCAAGCGTTGCCTCCAACTGGCCGCAGTGTCCTGGGCGATCCCCTTCTTCCACTCGGTGCTTTACACTGTTATGATGTCCCAAGTCGAGTTCTGTAACCCGGGGGAGATTCCTCAGTTTTTCTGTGACCTTTACCCTGTTCTGGATGTTTCTTGCTCTGACTCGTCCATCATCGATCTAGTATTGATGACCGAGGGGCTGGTGGAGATCATGGGGCCGTTTGTGCTCATTCTCATTTCGTACATCTTCATTTTCTACACCATCTTGAAGATTCCATCGGCCGTGGCCAAGCGCAAGGCTTTCTCGACGTGCGGGTCCCACATTTGTGTGGTGGTCATGTACTTTGGTGGTATCAGCTTTGTTTATTTCAATCCAAACGCCAAACACCCAGAGCACAAGGACACAGTGGCGGCTATTATGTATACCCTGGTAACCCCCATGTTGAATCCCTTCATCTACACCCTCCGGAACAATGAGATGAAGGCAGCCATGAAGAGGGTCTACAGGAAGTATTTTCATTCATCTTGAAGGGTGAAACTAGAGGTATCGGAGATCTGTGACTGAGAATCCAAATTATGTCAGGCACATTTGAAGAGCTCCTATCCTGTTTAACTGAACTGCCCTAATACCAAAACCTCTTCACTTATTTCTTCAAGAGTGATTGCCTATTTCAAAGGCAAATATTAACAGAAATACAATTTCCTTTACATCGATTTAAAAGTGCTTTTATTCCTCAAGAGGGGATTAGATGAACATATGGAGCAGAGGTCCACCAGTGGCTATTAGCCACAAGGTGTAGATGGAACACTCTGGGGCAGTGATACTCTATTCTTGGTGCTTGGGGGGCAACCGCGGGAGGGCTTCTGGAGTTCTAGCCCCACTGGTGGACCTCCTGAAGGTACCTGGGTTTGGGCCACTGTGTGACACAGAATGCTGGACTAGGTGGGCCATTGGCCTAATCCAGCATGGCTTCTCTCATGTTCTCCTCCTAAGTGGTAATAAAAAGTATTTTTCTCTCCCCCATAAAATGTGTTCCTTTTCTCCCTCAAGTATTAAAATATATTTCCGCTCTCTAAAAAGTTTTTTCTTCGTCAAAGTGTTCAAATGCTTCCTCCACCAGAATTTTTATTCCCTTGCGAAACATGTGAGGAATTAGATGAAGATGGGCAGCCACGTCAGTCTGTCTGTAGCAGTAGAAAAGAACAAGAGTCCAGTAGCACCTTAAAGACTAACAAAATTCATGGCAAGGTATGAACTTTCGTGAGTCACTGCTCACCTCTTCAAAAGTGTCTCACACGTTCACTGTAACATGTGAACGGGGCTCATGAGTGTGTAGGTACAGTCCGGGGTTCCCGGAAGTCACTCAACTTTGAGCTGTGCTATTGCTGAAATGTGCTAAGCGTTGCCTTGAAGGATCAGAACTGCAACACAAATGCTAGCTAAGGCAGACACAGTTCCAAGGCGATCTCCTGTGCAGGTCTGTAGCTACAGTGGGGTATCTGGGGGCAGGGCCCCCAACTTACTTCAAAGGCCCCCTAACTTTCCATCTGGCCCGACGCGAACTCCACTCCCCCTGCACCACGTCTTGCCACCACCTCTCCTCACCTCCCCCGATGTGAAGGCCCCCTGTGCAGCTCCTCGCCAAGTGCAGCGTTGGGAGGAAGGGCCAAGTGCGGGGAAGAGAGGGAGGAGGGAAGGTCTTCTCCCAGCTGGGCCCCTCGAAAGACTGGCGGCGCTGATTGATGTCCTCATTCAGGATTCGCTGTGGGCTGAACAGTAAATTAGCCAGCCTTTCTTGCTTTCCCAGCACTGCCTTTGCATCTCTGCATATTTAGAACTCTTCTTCTTTTTTAATATTATTTTTATTGGTATTTTAAGATTTGTGGAGAAATATCACCTCAACGAATCATTTTATAATAGTTGCAGATATTGTCACATTTCATGTAAACCAAAGCATTGATATATATTTTGCAGTCATTTAAATAATAGCTAATATAGTTGTACAAATTAATTCCAATCATATAAACTAAATTTTACTTAACTAAAATTTATCTCTTTTAAACATCTGTAGAAAGAAAGCCAATAATTATCAAATGGCTCAGCATTTTTTTCTTGAATAATAAAAGTTAGCATCTCCATCTCTGCTACATCAAGTATCTTATAAATAACTTCTTCTTTAGTAGGAAAGTTTTCATCTTTCCATCTTTTAGCAAAGACAATTCTAGCTGCAGTCAAAATTTGCATAACTAAATATAGCTCATTTTTCTTAAAGATATCAGGAATAAAATTCAACAAAAAGCATTCTGGTACAAACAGTATTTTTTTAGCTTTATCATCATCATCTAGAAATTTTTAGCTTTGTTACATAGCCACCACATCTCTCCCTTATATATAATTGAATA